GCAGTATATGGTACAGCATTGAAAATGAATGTACTACAATACAGATGAAATTCACATACATGATTTTAAGTGAAAGTAAAAGGCAATTTGCCCAAGAATAGATATGACTTATTAAACATTTAAAAAATGAGAACTATATGTTATTTAAGGATATTAGATAAGTGATAAAATTAGAAATGAATGCAAGACAATGATAAACACAAAAGTCAGAGTAAATGATGACCTCTGGGCAGTGGGCAGGAGGACACTAGGGAGGAGCTCATAAGGCTTCCACATTGGTTCTCTTATAATTATTAAATGGGTGCTGGGTTTTATTTTTATTCTCATGCTTTGTAATTTGAATATATGTCTCATTAGTTTACATGTATCAAGTATTTCCTAACTTGAATGATAAAAGTAATCATCAACTTCAACTACATTCTTTTTGACAGATCATTATTAGCCATACTTATTGACAATTAACTTTTCCCACCAATGTGCTGCACATATGTTCCTTCTTTTCCCCTAAAAATCTCCTCCTTCACCAGTTGACCTCATTGGAAAGGGTTCCTTTTGGAATCTGGTTCAAATCTCACCTCAATTATCCATGACCTTCCTAGATTTTAATTGTCTCATCTATAACATTGTGATAATAGTCTCTAGCTCACAACATTGTTGTGAAGATTATACATATGCATATTCATATACATATATATCTCACTGAAAGTGATGTTAATGGTTATCTCTTCATTCAGAGATTTTCATCAAACATGTATTGAATATCTGCTGGGTTACAAATGCTGTAGGGGATACAAATAATGTTTTTAACACCTTTCCTCAGAGAGCCAGATTTATTCTCACACAACTACACAATGCTGCCATAAGGGATATCATTATGGAATATAAGGAGTTAAAGAACTTTCACAGGAGAAAGGAATGGGTTTTGTAAATTCAAGGAAGGCTTCAAAGAGGTGGTGGCATGTGAGATGAGCCTCTAGCAATTTTTTCAGTTTGTTTTCGTGTACACAAAGCTCCCCTGAAAATTTCCTACTTTCTTCTAAACACTCTAAGTACCTTAGGTGAGTCACCACACCCCCATAAAGAATGGGTTGTTGATCTGAAAGACTCATTCATCCTATCCCTTAGCCTCTCACTCTTACTTCCATCCAGTGCAAGCCATCCACTGTTAGCCTGATTAGTGGATGGATGTTAGTATTACAAGGACATGAAGTCATCACTGGGTTAATGCAAACAGTAAACAGATTCCATTTTACCCTTGTCTAGACTTGAGCAAGTTAAGTGCCCTAAAAATGCCACAGAAATATATATTTTTGCAATGTTATGTCTCCATGAGTCATTTGGCTTAATTAGACTGGTCATTTTGTATGTGTTTTTTATGTGACCAAGGGAACACATATCTGACAAATTTACTGACCCAGGGAGATACTCCTGGGAAGAGGCTAATACTTACTGGACATCCGCTCCAGCAACCACAATGCTAATTTTCTCTCTTTCCAAACGTTGCAATCATCGCGGCAGACTTAAAAGCATCTTTAAACCTTCTGGTTCATTAAAATTTTTGGAGACAATGTTTTTAAACTTTCAGCATAGAGTAAGCCATCTTTAATAACGGGAGCTTGACAGACGCCACGGAAAACCAGTGCAGTTTCTCCAGAGATTCTTCTTGAAAGCTCAGTTTTGCTAGCAGAATTTACAAAGGGTGGGGGGCAGTCTGTTTTCTTGTCTTCTAAAATGAGCCCTTTAAAACATTAGCCAGCCCATGCATACCCCTTCTCTTTATCATCCAATGGCCTCTTTGAAAAGAAAAATCTGAACCTGTGGTGGTTTACGAGACCACTACATAATCTGCCCTCACTTCCTGCCCCTCTTCCTCCCACACACTATGGCCCAGACACACCGACCACTGCTGGTCCTTAATCTACCACGCACGTTCCCCAGGGCTAGGGAACTCCACTCTAGCTCTTCCTCTGTCAGAATCATTCTTGCTCAGGTTTTTACAGAGCTTGCTTTCTTATTTCACTCAGATTTTGCTTAAATATGCTTAAACACTGTCTCCTCAGAGAGACTTCTCCTGATCACCCTACTCAAACTGCATTCATGTTGATCTGTGCACCTAACTCTGCTGTATATTTCTTCATATCTGGCATTATTTTGTACTGTATTACATTTTAATGCTTGTTCACCTTACTCTTGAATGTAAGGTTCAAGAGGACTGGGGCTTTGTCTCTATCCTGCTGCTTGGTACCTACTGGTGTTCAACAAGTAGTCATTGAATAAATAAAGGAAGGACATTACATTTCTGCTGCCTGGAAGAGATAGGGTTAGTAAAAGACTGTGGCTCTATGGTGTTGTACATAGTAGCACATGACATGGTGTACATAATGTAGATTTTTATAGAAAATACACAGAATGTGGCATTAGAAGATCTGGGGCCTTTTATACAAGGCACATGACTTTGTATAGGTCTGAGTGTCAATTTCCTCTGACTAATGGATTAGACTAATGTTGATAAGATAGAAAGAGATGGGGTGGTAAGTTTTATAAATCTTAAAATCGTAATATAAGTATTGCTATCTCTTTGGGCAATATACAAATATTATAAAACCAAAACTAGCTATTCAAATTAACATTTACCACTTACAGAGCTAGAAAAACTCCTAAATATATGCTGAACTTCCAGTTGACCTTAAAAGGAAAACTTAAATGCAATGAAAAAGAATGAGTTGGAAGGCTGTTTTAAAACAACAAAATATAATAAAATATAATGTTTCCATATATGTATGCATACCGATACAATTATAAACATTACTTTCTTATCTCTTAAATTTCAGTCTTCACAAAATTAGCTAGAATTTTCATATTAGTTCTTTCTCTGAGGAATAAGTAGATATGATCTCAGCTGGTTACAAATTTAATTTCATAATATCCCCAGCCATCTCTTAGATAGAATCTTTGTGAGTCATTCTGTATAGATAAAACAATAAAAGCTCACTTCAAATTAGGTTGGTTAATTCCCTTTTTCTAATAAGGAAATCCTTGTTGTTGTGTGATAAGTACTAAAAAGAATTAGCAAAAGAAAGGTAAATTTCTAAAAGATTTATTTAAGGTAAAACAAAGATTTTTAAATATCAGTGTTTGAATAAATATATGAGGGCTGAATTTTATAACTCACTGACATAGTTGTTTTTTTTTTTTTGTGAGGACCTATTTTGATATGTTAACCTTATTTATTTAGTTTTTAGCTAAGGTTATTCCATATTACTGAGATAGAGGTGTGTGCATAAGGAAGCTATTAAAATGTGCATATTGAAGCCCAGGCGTAATTCATGTTCTGTTTACTTGAGGGAGGTAGAGGGTGGTTTTAGTAAAATAATATCTGTATGTGTTGGAGATGAAAAGTATGTGCTAAGTAACCCCTGTGGAAGGAAACCAACTGTTTGTTTTATAGAGTAGGATTTCAGTCACATACACTGCCCCCATTCATGAGTGGGTCTTCTATTGCTCCAGCCTTCTGTCCTATTTCTATTCTGTGCACGGAGTTCATTGCATAAAGCCTCAGAACAGTGGAGGGACCCATTCTAAGGAGACAGATGTGGGTAGTACTGATTCCTTAACTTGGGAGAGCTCTTGATCCTCAGTCAGGCCAAGCTCAGATGTCACCTCCTAATGACATCTTCCCCACCCATCTTCTCCCCAGTGTTCCAGAAATATATTTTCTTTGGTCCTCTGAGTTTATGCTTTGCATGGTCTACCATACTATGTATCACATGAAGTAATTAATCACACATGTAAGTATTCCCAACACTCTAGCTTCTCCTCGTGAACTCTGTGACTGTAAGCCTCCCACAGAGCCTGGCCTATCATGGATGCTGGCTGTATTTTTTCAGAATAAATAAATTAATGAGTGCTATCCACCAGCTGCCTCCCTGAAAGGGACTGAAAATGTACAGAGTCCAGCCGAAGTTGAGATGGAATGATCCTGGCCTTTTCTTTTGGAGAGTGCAGACATTGTACTCACTGGTTTTTAAACACTGTTCAGAATTTTAAGCCCCTCTTCTCAACAACAGTCCCTCTTCTTAGGAGACAGATGTGGGTAGTACTGATTCCTTAACTTGGGAGAGCTCTTGATCCTCAGTCAGGCCAAGCTCAGATGTCACCTCCTAATGACATCTTCCCCACCCATCTTCTCCCCAGTGTTCCAGAAATATATTTTCTTTGGTCCTCTGAGTTTATGCTTTGCATGGTCTACCATACTATGTATCACATGAAGTAATTAATCACACATGTAAGTATTCCCAACACTCTAGCTTCTCCTGGTGAACTCTGTGACTGTAAGCCTCCCACAGAGCCTGGCCTATCATGGATGCTGGCTGTATTTTTTCAGAATAAATAAATTAATGAGTGCTATCCACCAGCTGCCTCCCTGAAAGGGACTGAAAATGTACAGAGTCCAGCCGAAGTTGAGATGGAATGATCCTGGCCTTTTCTTTTGGAGAGTGCAGACATTGTACTCACTGGTTTTTAAACACTGTTCAGAATTTTAAGCCCCTCTTCTCAACAACAGTCCCTCTTCTTCTCAACAGTAGCCATTTTCCCAAACTCTCAATTCTGCTATTATTTTTCCTTTTATGATGGATCATAAAGTGCACAAAGGTTCATCACTCTCCCGTTCTGTCCTCTTGCCAGTGAACACCACAACTGATTTGAAAAGCATGTGTCTGCTCGCTCTGAGCTTCACATTTGTTGTTAAGGTCTCTCCTTGCTAAAACCTTTCCTCTTGTCCTGTAAGGGTCGTGGGTATAGAGGTGTGTGCATGAAACCTTCTCCCATGTAAATATATTTGTACCTGGCCCTGCAAAAAAATAAATGAAAGGGTCAGGGGTATGTGTGTGGAAGGTGGGTATGAAGGTGGAGAAAGAAGATTGGTGAAATAAGAGGGAGACTTAAAGAAGAACATGAGTTTTATGGTCTCTGAAAATTTCTTTGACATTCTTTTCCAGGTTGATTTTGGATTTGCTAAGAAAATAGGATCAGGACAGAAAACATGGACATTCTGTGGAACTCCAGAGTATGTAGCTCCTGAAGTCATTCTCAACAAAGGACATGACTTCAGTGTGGATTTTTGGTCCCTGGGAATTCTAGTGTATGAGCTTCTAACTGGCAAGTAAGTATCTTCAATGCACTCAGCCTCTTCTTGAAAGAAGTACAGAAATAATTTACTAATGATAAAAAGTATGTAATTTAAGAGATTAAGATTTTGGAAATGTTTTTGATTAAGTGTGATGCCTTTTCTTCTTTACATTATGTCACATGTAGCAGGCTTTCTAGTTTATAGTGTGGAGAAAAGATTCAGGTAAGGGAATTGCTATGGTTTCCCTAGTATGGTATGGCCTGTTCTTATAAGTGACATTTTAACTGTGAGAAGGTTTTGGTAATCCATCTAAGAAGAAGAAAAGCATAAGATAAATTCTAGCCAAAATAAGCAGGTGCCGAGAGGCAACAAAGTGCCAGGCAGTTTATTTGAGCGCAATTCCCGGGCGAGGTTCACCAGTCTACGTAAATGGAGGCTGGGGAAGTCACGCCCTGTCAAGGAGGTGGGGGCTTATAAGGGATTAGGAGGGGGAGGAGTGGGCAAGCTGTCCTAGGGGGTGTGGAGAGGTATGATTGGCTAAAGGTGACATAATAGACAACTAGAAACTTTTTTTCCTTCCAAGAAGGAGGAGGCTAACATCCGGGTCTTAGTTGGCACATCAGAAGGATGGAATTCAGGAAGAGCTGTCCCCTTTCCATATAAGGCACGGACCTTGGGGTCTGGTCTGTTCTCCTTTTATGGTATTTCTCTGTTCTGTTTGCATGTCCTTGTTTTTCCTTCCTTCAGCCTAACAAAAAGGAATTTAAGTTGTGAGCTGTTATTATTTCCTCATATATTTTCTTTATAATTGAGGAAATAGCATTCACAGTTCAGTTAAACCCATTGATAAATTAAACTAAATTTAACCATGTTGTTCCATCTTCCCAATAAATTATCAACCAGTTATGCTAAGAGAAAGCAACACTGCTGGATTTAAATTTTAATTCCTTTGTCAACTGCCTTCTGGAGGTGCTAATGAACAGAGAGACAAAGCACAGCAGGAGTTTTAGCAGTTAAAATAGAATTGTCATTCCTGAAGAGATTAAAGGGCCATATTAATGAATCCAAGACCCCAGATATTCAACATGCATGTGCACACACACATTTGTAAGTACACACACATATACACACATGTAGGCTATATATAGTATTACCTCACATTTGTAAAGCACTTTACAGGTTACAAAGCCCTTATAATTGTATTATCTAGTTTAGTTTTCACAACCTTGTGTAGAAGTGAAAGCAGGAATTTTTGTTGCTATTTTATGATTTAAATTTTTATTATGATTCATTAATTTAAATTCTATAGATCTGAAAACTGAATTAGAGGGCTGCCTGCCTAAGGTCAGGGATTTGATCCTAGACTTCTGACTTGGAATGTGACACACTTTCTGTTATACATGTTCACCTTATACATATGTGATTTTAATATATTTCATGCTTACACACACAAGATGAAGATCAATGTGATTTCCAGTTTTCTACCTCCATTTCTCATTAACTGATATATCCATCCTCATAAACCTTTATAACCAGTCTTACAAATTAAGACTTCTCAGTCTTAATCTCAGGGAGGATTTACATATGGAATGGTATAAGAGATAGTGGAAGGAGCCCAGTGATGTGAATTCAGGTCTCAGCACATTTATTACAAAAAGAGTTTTGTAGGATGTTTCTTGAATTACAAATTACAATGCTGGCTACTTCCTTGTCCACATGCATTGAGCAGATGGATATGAAAGATAATTTTACATTATCTGTAATCATTTCAAATGTTCATTGCTTAAGATTTTAAAGGAAAAAAGGGAAAAATTTCCAATCATTCAGAGAGAAAGTTGCTTCAAGTCTTGGGACATAAGGAATTCTATTTTATGAATTTGTTTCCTCAACCCTGGGAAATTTGTCAGATGCATTTTTGAGAGATGTATGAAGGTTCCTATAGGTAACTAGAGAATTTGCATCACAGTCTTCATCAGTGGAATAAATTGCTATAAGGATAAGGGAAGTGAAGTGAAGCAATTAGAAAAGGGGTGGGGAAACCAAAAACTTGGAGTTGCCCTACTAGCCTTGAGATATCATAAAGAAGTTGAGAAATTGTTTTTGTGAAAGTTTTCAGGGTAATCATGAGAAAAGTTAATTTTAAATGCTCTGAACTGTAGAGAGTAAGTACATGAAAATGAGGAAAGAACTAAAAAACAAAAACAAAACAAAACACGACATAGTTATAAATATATAAGCTGAAAATATTAATGTTCTTGTTTGCTATCTCATTTTCTTTACAAGTGAAACATAGATTATTGAAAAATTGTTACAGCAACCTGGTTTCAAGTTTACCAAGGGTGGGAACTCTCAGTATCAAGAGCTCTCAAACATGACAAAGATACAGCAGAGTATTTCATAAAAGTCATCTTTAATTTTCAAAATTAAAATTACAAAATAAAATGACACAAGGAAATAGATATTAAAGTGTTTTTAAAAGTGAAGTATATGTGTTAAATGTTATCCAAATTCAATGGTCAATTCCCAATGCTTTCTTACTCACCTTAGCAATTTATCCTTGAAATAGTCTCTTCAGGTGGCTTCCAGGACTTTCCTTTCTCTCATTTCTTTTCCTGCAGTGGTGACTCCCTCTCAGTCTCACTGCCAGACCCTTTTCATCATCCTGGCTGTTCCACACTGGGCCACCTCAGTCCTTGACCTCTTCCCTGTCTATTCACTGCTTGTGTGACATCATCAAGGGTCATGGGTGAATACTGTCAGGTGACTCCCCGGAAGCAGACCTGGAGCCCTAACATTTTCCTGAATGCCAGACTTACAAATTCAACTCTGTGTGGATGTTCAAACCATAAATCTTGATTCTCTTCATCATAATTTGCTCTACCACCCTGCATCCCTACTCTGATCCCCACCCTAAACTTTCTACTCTTAGTAAAGATAGCTTCATTCTATAGGTCAAAACACATTACCATTATTCTCAAATCCTTTCTTTCTCCTGCACACTGCATTCACCCCATTAGCAAATCCCATTGGCTTTCCTGCCTAAACAGATCTAGAATCCAACCACATCTGACCACCTTCTCCACCACCAGCCTAGTCTGGGCTACCAGACCCTCTTTCCCTCACCAGTAGCACCACCACAGCTCATTCATCCCACTGTGAAAATAAGCCTACTCTGGCCACTGTAAGTTACAGCCTCTGGCTCAGTACAGTTCCCCAGGCCCTTACCATAGCCGGCTAGCTCTATGTGAGGTCACCTCCTCTCTTATACCCCTCTGCTGCTTGTTTACTGATTCCACCAGCAACACTGCCCTCCTCCCTATTCCAAAAACAACCCATGCCCGCTCCCCACTCACGGTCTTTGTACTTGCTGTCTTGGAACCCTTTCTTAAAACAATGTGGCTCATTCAGTCCTCCTCATTCACACTGTCACTGGCGGCTGCATCTGTGTAGGTCTCTCCCCAGGCACTAGACAAAACCTCAACCTGGATGGGGAGGGAGGGCTTTTGACTCTGATTAATCAGAAAAGAACTCTCAATCAGGTTGAACAAGTCCCCTCAGGGAAGGAATTCATTCAAGTGAAAGCAGAAGTGAATGACAGCAGCCATATAAGCAATAGAGTACAAGGAAGGGCAGAGAGAGAAAAGGGAAGTTCCTTGAACTCCTGCTCAGTGTGGAGCAACTCCCTTGCCAGCTCCTAAAGCCAGAGTCACCTGGAGTCCAGTGTACACTTGAATCTGCATGATGTGGGAATTATATCCCAACCACCCCAGAATTTGGGGGAGCCATGGGCACTTGATGGATTGAATTTATGTTCTGAGAATTTCCACCTCCCTACTGGTGTGAAATAAAACAGGTAGAGAAAAAAGGATTGTTTTAAGATAGAAAGCGGAATGAAATAGCGAAGTGACAAAGCCACTTGCCACTTTCCACCAGAGGTGAAGGTCAGAGAATTCTTGTTTTTATCATGAAAAAGAGTTCAGAGACAAAGTGCAATAGGCTTATGCAATAAGAACATTTATTTGATAAGACAGCACACACACTGATGGGAGTGAAGGCAACCTCAGAGAGGAGGTGCACTTAAGGGTTTAGGGCTTGGGGCCTTCTGGGTAGGGGTCAGCATAAGGCATGATGTATCCAAGTGATTCATAATTCCTTTGAAGTTTTTTCTTGAGAATAGGGTTATTTAGGTTAACTGTGTTGATCTGGATCTCAGTATTCTTTACCCATGTAGGTTCATTTACACTCCAGGGGTCTACTTAACCTAAGGGGCTGGAAGAAGAGGAAGAACAGCATATAGATTAAGTTAAATAATAAATGGGGCCTTTTTCACAGGCTAAGTAGATTTTACAATGGTGTGACCCTTTTCCCATTCCAATGCTCTCTCTCATTCCTGTTATTCCATTGTCAATTTACAGGATAAGCTTTTCCTACCCACTGTGTCTAAAAAATTCACACCTCTCTCTGTCACTCTGTCCATTTCTTTTTAGTGATTATCACCACCTGACAAATTACTTGTACATGTGTGTGATTTGTTAAGTGATATGAAATTAATGAGATTATTTTCTAGCATATATCCAAATTTGTTATAAAACAATTAATTGGAAGGAGGGAGTGAGAAAAAAAAAGAAAGGAACAGTTGTAAATATGTCTCAGGCACTGGTTGTCATGTCCTATTTTGGCTTTTCTCTAGCCCACCCTTTTCTGGGATTGACCAAATGATGACCTACAATTTGATTCTCAAAGGAATTGAAAAAATGGATTTTCCTAGAAAGATAACAAGACGGCCTGAGGATTTGATTCGGAGGCTTTGCAGGTGAGAATGACAATTAAAATCCTCTTGTTCTTGGGGAAAATATGAAGGCTTCTCATTTGTGGTTTCAGACTTTTTAAAATTAGGTATCTGTTTACTTTTTGTACTATTCTATGTAGCTAAATTACATTTAAGGAAAATTATTTTCTGTTCTGTAGTCTATGCTAGGAATTTGAGTTTACTTCATGTTACAGAATCACAGTATCTACTTAAAATTTAAAAGAGATCCAAATATTTCAGGTTATCTTTGGGAATCATCTTTGTTATAGAGCAAAATAGATCCACAAACTTTAGCTTAGTAAAGTAGTAATTAATTTAAAGTCTTGTTATTTTGAGAGAAAATATCAGTGGTAATGATAAAGTGCTACTATATGCCCTCTAAAAAAAATACTCTTCTGGCCTTGTTTTAAATTACTCCAGATTTCTATTTACCAATAAAATAATTTATTGGAGAACAGAAGACTTCTAGAATTTTTGTTAAACATCACTTTTTCACTGTTTTTTGCACATTTGAACTTTTTTTTAAAGCATTAACATTTAGTAAATTTAGAACATGAAACCTAGCTGTGGGTTGCTAAAAGAAATTTCTTCATGTTTCTAAAATTCCAGCTCAGATGTAAATGATTCTCTAAAACTTTCCTTGGCTTTCTCAGCAGAGTTGGTAAGATAGCACCCTCCTGTTCTTTTCAGCATTTATTCATAGCTCATTAGAAGCACCAGGATGTATCTATATATCTGTATATATCTATAGTTATTTTATGTACATATAGAATATATATAAAATAACTCTAATTTGACTGTGGCTCCCCCAGAGAGGGACATGTGTTTTTCATCTCCCTATACGCAGATGCCTGGTCTATGAATACTGATGAATAAATGAATTAATGAGAAAAGAAAGAAAAATGTTGTTTTATTTAAAATTCACTAAGCATAATTATTTTAAACTGCTTTTTAAAAAAAATTTCTTTTTAGGCAAAATCCAACAGAAAGACTGGGAAATCTGAAGAATGGAATCAATGACATTAAGAAGCACAGGTACATGTTACTTCTTTGCTCAGAAAGAAAGCACATGTTTATAGAAAAATGTGGTAATCTTGAAGCTTCTCACATTAGGCCACAAGGGTCCCTTTACAGATGCTCAATTTTTACTTTTTTGTATTTTGTTTTTAATTTGTGTCTTACTAGATGCAGTTACAGTAATCTATCTCAGAGTGATTTTTCTTATGTTTGAAATTCATTATCAAGAACAGATGAAGTTATAAAACAGGTTACAAAATCACATTTTCAAGTTATAGCAACTTAGCTTTTTATCCACTGCTATTTTTATTATTTTTCAATATCAACTTGGATTCTATAGAGAAATTAAGTTCTAATTTTGATGTTTGATTTGCAATTAAAGTAGGATATAATTATTGCTGTCAATATTCAAGAGACTGGGTCCACTAAATCAACTGACATAGTATTATATTTCAGTATTAATTAATATTAATATTTAATTTAAATATAACTTTCCTTTGACTAGCCCCTCAAATTCTGAAGCTTCATGTTGTATTTTACTTTTGGTAAAGTATATTGATTTCCACAAAACCTCAATGTTTTATTCTTATATAGTAACCTAACATACATCTTTTCCGTTCTATAAATTTCCAAAGCTGGCCTTCAGAACCATCAATAACTTCCATAATATATCCCCTGAGTTGGTTGTATAGGTAGATGGAAGTTCAAGCCTTTGAGATTTTTATAAAAATTAATGCCTAGCTAAAAACCTTCAATCCTCAAGATGTTTTAATTTTTCTCATGAATTACAGATATAAAATACCACCTATTGATAATACCATTGCTAATGCAAAAAGTAAATTTGAGAATTTCATTATGGAAAACCTATGAACACACTGATGTGTTTACTCAGAAATGAAAACACCTCTCCACAGTTTTACTGAAGAGTTAGGGGCACACAACACAGTTTGAAAATAGAGGGAGAGATGCTGCTGAACAGAAACAGTATTCATTTTTCTTAACAATTGTGGTGCAGCTTCAAAACAAAATCCCCAAGCTGCCAGTCCTGCCTTGTCTATGCATGAACTTCAAGTTAAGCCACATATTCCCAACACTGTAAATTGATAGAGAACTCTGCCTTAAGGGTATATTAGGAATGGAGTGGGGTTGGGGAGAGATACATAGAGACACTGACACATCTGTGGATTTTATAGACATCAAAATGTTTATAGTATTTTATTTTTCTTTGTCATCCTTTGTCTTGCCTTCAGGGTAAAGTTCATTATTTGTCTTAGATCCAATTTGTGATTCTTCCTACATACTGTTATCACAATTTCTTTTCTCATTATAAAAATCACACATAACATACCAGGCACACTGAACAAACAAGTGTCCCGTCAATTAAAATCATTCTCCTAATATATTTTCCTCCTTCCTCTCATTAGAGAGACATCTGCATGTTTTACTCTAGGGTAGTTGGGTTAAGAGATTCCAGTTTTATCTTTTACTTCTTATTTAACTGAGGCTCATTTAAATGTAGCTGTCAGGGTGTGATTGGATGCCCCTGCAAACTGATGCTAAAAGATTGTCTCACCTCAGCAAGGTAATGAAGACTTTTGAATTTCCTTCCCCGTAGGGATTAATTTGCCCACAATTCTTACCAGGCAGGATATTCTTTGCCATGTAACTGTAGAGTCAAAGTACAGCTTATAGGGTACATACACAGTGCCTTCCAGCAAACCCAGGGAGCTCAAAAATATTATTTTATCGTATCTTCATAGTGCTTTTTAAGATACAAAGCTGGGGCAGGGGGACCTGAAAAATAGATCTATGCCTTCAAATAGGAGTGTTCTAAAAACATTCCATGCATCTCCAGGCATGTAGTTCCTCTACCCAGTATATTCTTGGAATTAAAAAAAAAAAATCTTTCTAAAATTGACTATCAGATTTCTCCACTCTTTTCTAAAGTAAAACATCAGAATTTTTTTCTTATAGAACTATTCACTTTAATTTTGTATTTAAAAACCATATAGTCAAACATGGTATATTGTTATATATTTGTCCATTTTGGGTTAAATCATCTTTCCTAAAAATAATTAGAGTTACCCCCTCCACCATGTATGAGCTAACTTGTAAACTAGACAGTCATGTCTCCCAACACCTATCTGAAAAGAGGGATGATATATTTGTAGAATACAATTAAACTTTTCCTGCTAGGTAGAGGAATAATTTGTTTCAAGTGTCTTAATGTTACCTTTAATATTTTTAGTTTCTAAAATTACTTTTAAGAGTAGTGCCTACAAGTCTTCTAAAAATGAAGAAGCAATTTGTGTATCATTGCTGCTAACATTTCTTTGGTGAATATTTTTCACACACGAGCGCCTGCCAGTACTTGCACTACTTAAAATGTGGTTAGTGTCAAAAGGCCAAGTGTTAAGTGAATAGCCACTCAGGTTATGTAAATATTGTCATAAGTCTAATTATAACAAGTACTCAGCAAGAAATGCATAGGCTTTTTGATTTAGGAGAGTAACAGTAATGATTTTTATTAATATTTATGGAGCAACTTCTGGGGAGAGACCATTGTAAAATCTGTTAAAAGGTATTATGGCAGTATTTGGTAGTAAAAGTAAAGAATCCACAAAACTGTGTGCCTAGAAATCCCTAAAAATAGAGCCTCGGCCTATGCAAGGAAGAGGATGGGTAGATCAAGGAGGGCACATTGGTGGTTTTGTAGCAAGGGTCAGGGAAGCTGGGGCTGCTGTCTGACTCTCACTCTTTGATTACTCTTAGCAGCATATTCCAAAATGGCACTTTGGTTAAGCATGGCATCTGAAATGGAATGCACACCCTCTGGTTTTAGTACTTTTTCTCTTGCTAAGTTAGATTTGGAATGGTACATCCAGTCAAGGACTGAACCAAAAGCAACTCCAGGGATGAGAAGGGATTGAAAAATGTGGAGGAGGGTAACTTTTGCTATATGGCCGCCAGACAGAGGAATGTGACCACCTCCTAAAATCAACCACCCTTCATTCTGCCTTCCACCTCCCACCACTGTCCTGCCCCGTCACAGCCCCTGGTGGTCATTCTCCACATAGCAGCCAAAATTATCCGTTGAAAACTTATCTACGTTGCAGCATTTTCTTAGAACTTTCAAATGGCTTCCCACTGTTCATAAAATCTTGATTCCTGACTGTGTTCTACAAAGACTTACATGGTCTGGCTTCTAGACAGTTCTTAGACATCTTGTTTCTAGTTTCTCCTCTATTCACCACACTTCAGTTCAGTCCTGTCATTTCCTGTCATTTAGAAGTCCCTTGCCACAGATCTTTCCATGGCTTTCCCTTTCTCTTCATTCTGACCTTAATTCAAATATTATTTCTTTCTCTTTTTATTTCCATTGAATCTTAACCCCAACTTGTGTAGTTACTATCTGTCAACATAGAAAGATGTTATAGAACTATTGACTATATTCTCTACTTTCATCCCCATGACTAATTTTTATTACAATTGAGATTTTGTGCCTCTTTATCCCCTTCACCCACTTCATTCACGGACCCCGACCCCTCCCATGTGGTAACCACCATCACTTCTTAGCGTCTCTGAGTCCACTGCTGTTTTGTTAATTTTGTTTTGTTTTTGTTTTTAGTGAAATTGTATGGTATTTGTCTTTCTCTGACTGGCTTATTTCACTTAGCACAATACCCTCTAGGTCCATCCATGTTGTTACAAATGGCAGGATTTCTTTTTGTTTGTGTGGCTGAATAATATTCCATGTGTGTTTGTACCACATCTTCTTAATCCATTCACCTGTCGATAGACAATTTGGTTGCTTACATATGTTGGCTATTGTAAATAATGGGGCATAAACATAGTGCAAATATATTTGTGAATCAGAGATTTTGTTTTCTTTGGGTAAATTCTTAGAATTTACATACTGGGTTGTATGGTATTTCTATTATTAGTTTTTGAGGATCCTCCACACTGCTTTCCACAGTGGCTGCACCATTTGACATTCCCACCAATAGTGTAGGAAGGCTCCCTTTTCTCCACATCCTCATCAAGACTTGTTATTTCTTGTCTTTAGGATAGTGGCCATTCTGATTGGTGTCAAGTGTTATCTCACTGTGGTTTTCATTTGTATTTCCTGATGATTAGCAATGTAAAGCATCTATTCATGTGCCTGTTGGCCATTGTATGTCTTCTTTGGAAAAATTTCTATTTAGGTTCTCTGCACATTTTTTAATAGGGTTTTTTTTTTTTTGCTGTTGAGACATATGAGTTCTTCATATATTTTGGATGTTAACCCTGTATCAGATATATTATTTACAAATATATTCTCCCATACTATAGGCCTTTTTGTTTGGTTGATGGTCTTCTTTGCTGTACTGAAGATTTTTAGTTTGATGTAGTCCCATTTGTTTATTTTTGCTTTTGTTTCCCTTGCCCAGGGAGACAGGCCCAGAAAAAAATTATTCATGCTCATATTTAAGAGGTTTTTGCCTACGTTTTCTTCTAAGAATTTTATGGTTTCGTGTCTTATATTTAGGTCTGTAATCCATTTTGAGTTTACTTTTGTGTATGGAGTTAGACAGTAATCCAGTTTCATTCTCTTGCATGTAGCTGTCCAGTTTTCCCAACACCATTTATAGATAAGATTGTCTTTTCCCCATTGTATTTTCATGACTCCTTTGTCATATATTAATTAACTATATATTGTGGGTTTATTTCTGAGTTCTCTATTTTGTAAATAATATTTCTTTAAATACCACCCCAGCTAAAAGCAACCCCACCCAACCCATCCCTATCCCAGCCATCATCTATCACTTCATTCTCTTTTATCTTCCTAGTACTTACTAGTATCTGAAATTAATTTAAGTTTTTGTATTATTTACTTGTTTTTTTGTTTGTCATCTCCCATACAAATACAAATATCATAAAGGCAGCATCTTTTATTTTTCAGTGCCTGGGAACAAATTGACTTCATATAAACTCTTGTTGTTTGGCTGACCAGACCTCAGTTTCCCCATAGAGAAAGTCAGTGGATATAGAACAGTGTTATTTCATATTCTTTGTAAGATCCTGAGAGACAGACTACATTGTTTATGTCTGAGAGAAGCAAGATCTTCTCACTTCTGGAGTTGCATTTCCAGCCCACCAAGCCTGACATGCATCCTAAAGAACTGATCAGTCCTTTTAGATCAATGATGTAAGAAGCAATACATGAAAGAATTTCATCTGGCCCTCAGCTTAATTCCATTACCAATTACTATAAAATACGTTTGTATCTTGGAGCTTTTTAAATACGTATTAGTAGGAGCATCACTGCCATGGCAGTGTGATGTTATAAGATGTGATAGTAAGAGGTTCTGTGATACAAGAGGTTCTATACATTAGATAGTCAGTGCTAAGGAGAAACAATGAGGCAGGAAAGTAAGATGGGAAGTATGTGGGGGTTAGTGGGTGCAATATTAGATTGGATGGCCAAAGAAGGCCTCACTAAGCAGATGACCTGGAGAAAAGACCTAAAGATGTTGAGGGAATAAACCATGTGGAAATCTGGGGCCAGAATTCAGCCAGATGGCCTTGAGTGCCAAGGTCTTAGAGTGCATCCCTAGCTTGTTGTAAGAATGGCAAGGAGATGACTGATCAAGGGATGGAGAAAGAGAAAAGTAGGACAGTGGTAAGAGTGGTGGTGGGCAGGGTGATTTTGAAAGGCTTTATGGATTATAGTAAAGATGTGGCAATGACTTTGCCTTTTATACTGAGTGAAACGGGAAGCACTGGGGAGTTTTGAATAAGGGTATGATGTGACCTGGCATGTTTTAAATGATCACACTTGCTGCTGGGTGGTTTCCATGGACAAAAATCCATTAGGAAATTATTATAATAATATAGGCAAGGAATAATTGTGGCTTGGCCCCTGCTAGTAGAGTGAATGTGTTTAGAACTCTTCAGATTTTGAATTTATATACATTTTGATGGTAACACTGACAAAACTTGCTTATGAACTGAGGTAGGGTGTGAGAGAAAAGATAACTCCAAGGTGTTTGGTTTGAGTAACTGAAATTATTGAGGCAAGTTTGTTGGGGAAAATCTGAAACCTCAAAGTGGATTTGATACATTGATAGATGCAGGTTAGATATCCAGTTGGGAGATGATAAATAGCAGTTGAAAGTATTAGCCTGTAAAACAATGGGGAAGTCTTGGTTGGGAATAGAAATCTGGGAGTAATCATTATATAAATGCTATTTAAAGACACAAGACTGAATGAAATTCCCTAAGGAAGTGAGAGTAATTACAAAAGAAGAGATCCAAGGACTGAGCCCTAGAGCACACTAAATTCCAATGGGAATAACATTGGAAAATGAAAGAAAACACCCAAGAAAGTAGGAAGGCAGGACAATAGCATGTCCTGGAAGCCAAGTGAAGAAAATATTTCAAAAAGTGTGACTGATGAACTGTGGCAAATGCTATTAATAGGGTAAGTAAGAGGAAAACTGAGAATTGAGGTACTCCCATGGAGTAGAGGGGGTGAGACCTGACTGTAGTGCGGTCAGGAGATAATGGGTCAGTAGAGGGATTAGTTAACTCCAGTGGGAGGAGAGAAATGCAGTGAGAGTTGGAGGGGACCTCAGGTCACAAGAGGATCTTTTGTGGTTGGAAAAAATTAAATGTTTCCATACCAATGGGAATGATCCAGGGGAAGATTCAGGAGAGAGGCAGATGGCAGGAGCAGGTTTTTGAATAGAGAAAAGGCTACAGGATCAAGGACACACAAGAGAAGTTGACCTTAGGTAGAAGCAAAGACAGGTCATTCCCCGGGCAGGAGAGAAGGGATCACAGGGATGTGGGTAGGCAGGCAGATATGCTGGAGGAGGACTGTGAAAGTTCTCTTTTTTGCTTCTGTTTTCTCAGTGAAATAGGAAGCCAGGTCATCACTTGGGAATAAGAATGGGAAGACAGTTCTGAAAGTTTGAGGAAAGAGGACAAAGTATGATTTAGAGTCTAAGGAAGGGAATGTGACAATGAGGGAAACAAGGACATCTAGACTGCTTTTGGGGCAGCATTAAGTGCCCCCTTGTGGTTAGTGGACCCAGGTTGAAGGCGACCAGATGACCAGTGTGGCTGAGTATTCTCCTCTGACCACTTGTGGCTGCACTGTAGCCGGCAGGGAGCAGGCAATGAAATGAATTGACAGGCAACTTGATATGCTAATAGCTTATCAGGCAAGTGATATTCCCCTCTACTCTTCTTATTTCTCAGGTGGTTGAATGGTTTTAATTGGGAGGGACTGAAAGCACGGAACCTTCCCTCACCTTTACAAAGAGAGGTACGGTGTCTATATGTTACTCTCTTGTTTTTTTTTTCTAGGTATTTGTCTTTGTAAACAGATTTTAGGGGTATGTATATATGTAACAGATTTTAGATTTTTAATAGTTTTCCTTTTTAGTTAAGTGAACTTGTCATAACAATTGCATTATAGGGACTAAATAATAATAATAATACCTATTTGATGGACATTAGTTCAAATCTCAGGAACCAATTACATGTAAATCTAACCTCCAGGTAGTCAGTGGTGGTTAGGATAACAAATGGCTCTGGAAATGTAATATGAACCACATATATAGTTTAAAACTTTCTAGTTAGCAACATTAGAAAAGATAAACAGGTGAAATTCATTTTAATTATCACAATATGTCCAAAATATTATCATTTCAAAATGTAATCAGTATAAAATATTAATGAGATGTCATTATTTTTTCATATTGTTTTTGAAATCCCAAGTGGATTTTCATACTTCCAGCACATCTCAATTTGGACGAGCCACATTTCAAGTGTTCCATCACCACATGTTGCTAGTGGGACAGAGCAGCTCTAGAGAAAGCAGAATATCTGCTAGCCTGCAAGGAAGAATGACTCAGGAGTGATATAGGTCAAGACTCTATAGATTTTAGGCTGTGTTCCCTCTAAAGGAATTTTAAAGACCTATGTCTCCCCTTGTACATTTTTAGATTGGCATTTGAAGTCCTTCATTATATGTTTCAATCATTTGGAGAATAAAGTTTCTAGTATGTTATAAATATTGACATTTTAAAGTAAAACATTACTTCACTCTTTTAAATGTATCCATTGTGATCTAAATGTCACTCAGATTTGATACCCATCAGACATTTAAAAAATGGAAATATTACATCATTCCTTTTCTCTCTGAATTCTTGTTTCCATTTTCCATTCAAAATTTTGTCCTATATAAAATATTTTCATGCTTGACAATCTTTAGTTGATCATTAAGTGCTTTTAAATTACAGTTTTATACATTTAAAAATTTCTGACAACAGAAATTTCTGTGATAACACAAATGTTTTTTCTGGATTCAGTTATAACCACATTTTTACAGCCTGCAGTTTCAAGCAACATAAATATATTGCAAAATTTTAAAGTAGTTATTAAACAAATATTTTGAAAAATTATAAAATGTACTTGTGGAGAAATGTTATTTATTAAAGGAATAGAATCAGACATCAATTTGTTCCTTTTAAAAATTACATAGATGCAAGTGCTAAGAGTTGTTTTTACATAAATAAGTCCATGGGAATGGAAAGTTTTATAATAGTGATGTCACTTTGAATGCTCTCTGAGTGATCTCTCCACCCTCTCAAGAAACATCTTATGATCTATCATAAGTTGTATTTTTAATAAGCTATTAGCTAATAATTCAAGAAGGTGTTTCTTTAATTTGTTTGAAAGTAAGGAATTGGAAACCACCTGATTTGCAAAATAGTATAATTCGAGAGTTATTTCATTCTTTCAACAGGGTCAATAATATTTTGAATTATCCCTTTGTTTGGTATTCTGGAAACTTCATATGGGTCAGTTAACCATATAAAAATTTAAGTTTGGTGAGAAACTTATGAAGTGGAAAAAGATTCTAGCAAATTTTGAGTTTTTAAAAATATTTGCCTTCAAAATGTTTTTCAATTTGAAAAGAAATAGACATTTCTGTCATCTTTTCTCTTTTGGAAATAACTCCTCAGGCCAGGTAGCTTCAATTAAATGTAATCCAGTGACCCAATCCTTTTGGTCTAAAGGAGAGATCTCATGAGGCTGAGAATGTGGTTCAGCCATGATAACTGGTCATCTTTTCCTTATATGTAACTTATCAATGGTTACAGTATAAAATCAGTGCTCAAGTCTAAAAACCATGACCCCTGCATAACAGTATATTTCATCAACATCATCCTCACCTTTGGCTTACTCCTTCCTCTATTAGCTCAGTGGACCCACAGATCACAGCTACTTTGACAAGTACCCTCCTGAAAAGGGAGTGCCTCCAGATGAACTGTCAGGCTGGGATAAAGACTTCTGACAGAAGAAAAATGATTACTGCCTCTACATACAGAAGAGAACTGTGAGGACCAATAACCCAGCAGTGATTATTTCTTTCTTTGAAATATTGTATCTTTTGGAAGACGATTAGGGAAAAGAAATTTCTGCCCATGGGGCTGGGGTGGACAATAGTGGGTATGGAAGTGTCTGAATTACAACATTTCATTTAGATGCTGTGAATTATTCATGTATTCCATTCTTTGCTTTTCTCAAATGTTGAAGGCTATCCTATTCCCCTCTCCACAGTCTGAACCATTTTTGTTGAAGGGGTATCCATTACTCTGCTATCTGTTGCTCCATCCCGATCATACTTGTCTCTTTTGAGTCTTATTAAGGTTTAAAAAGTGTCTTTCCCTTAAGCAAATAAGTCATGCAAACATGAAGGAAGAACAAGGGTGATTTTCGGAAGATTTTCCCTGCTCTAAACAAATGCATGTGCATAACGGTATCTTAAAGTCATGATTTGTGGAAATCTTGGCAGTCAATAGAAACTCTTGATTTTCACCTGCATTCAACCTAGAAATATATTCATATGCTTCTGATACTAGTCTGGGGAAAGGCAAGTTTCAGTATTAGTCAGTGGCACCACTTCCTAACATCAGTGACTTAATTAATCCAGCCCAATAATTTTATTCTAATGGAGAACCTGGAAAAAAACATAGCAAAGAGTATTTTTCATTCTCCTGTGCCCAGCTGCGACACCTCAGAGATTTTTCAAAAGCCTTGTTAAAGGTGGTTATATGTGTTGTTAAGCAATGGGCCTTTGGTAAGCTTTTATCTTATATACTAAATATTTCACAATCAAAGTAGCAAATATGCAGGAAGAAAATTGTGAAGGCTTTTCCTTTCCATTAAATATGAAGGAGAATACATTCTAATAGGTAAGGTTGCTGACTCCTTGAAATTTTGAGCTATGTTGGCCAATTTTGTGGTAGTTTCTATAAATAAACCAAGAATATAGAATAACTACAATTAATTTTTAATGAAAATCCTATTGGCCATTGTTGATGTACTGTAATCACTGCTGCATTAATAACTTTTTACAGATAGTTGAGTCATGGATGTGTTTATAGTTTTAGATTGTTAAGGTAGGCAGGCTGCTGGAGAAGTAATGGGGCTTGAGGAGTAAAAGGACACCCAGCATCTGCCCTCGGTCTCCTCCTTGCAGTCTTCCAAATAATGAATCGATTATCTTCAGTAGCAGTGGACACTAGTACCTAACAACTTCACTGGTGAATGTTTTTATGTATCAACCATGATCCCACCAAATGGATGGGAAGCCAACTTTCTCTATATCTTTTTGATCTGGCAGAGTAAAAATAACATCTAAGTTCCTGCATTATTCAAGCTTCTGGTTGTATTTTCATATGCTAAGATTCTATGGGAAAAGTGACCTCTACTCACACTTGACCCACATTTTCAATATTCAGAGAAAGTCAGCTATATGCTTGCTGAAAGGTTAAATCAGATAAGTGAGGTCCAACCCAAGTAACTACATCTTTAACAAACTGCATTTCCACATTTAGAATCCTTTTGCTGAACCAAAGACTTTTTGTTTCCTGGAGTAGTATTTTTAAAGATTATGTATTGTATATAGAAGAACCATTTGTAATAGGGTCAACATAACCTGCTTAATGAATTTCTAAGATTTTTAAAAGATTTTTATTTACATTTAGTTTCTAAGCACTGTATGTTTTTCCATGTATATATTTTTAAATTACTCACCTATAAATGTAGGAAATTTATGCATTGGGTGGATATTAGAACTGTACAGTTACAAAAGCAATGATATTCTCAAAAGAGATACATAGTTGTAATACAAAAAAGACATACATACAAATAAAAACCAGCTTAGAGTACTACAGGTTTATTTTGCCTGTGATTGGCTATATCAGTATTTTATCTCCACATGTGTTTTTGTTGTGTTTCCTTTAGAATACTTTATAAAGATGAAGAAATAAGAGATTGAATCATCATATAATCCCAATTTCCTAGCTGGGTGGCCTTGGAAAAATGACTTGACTTCTTTGAGTACTAGCTTAGCTTTCTCACCTGCAGAGAAATGTACAGTAAAGTAATACCTTCTTTAGAGGTCTGTTTCAGGGATTAATAAGATATCTAGAACGTTTTTTTGCTGATATCTGTGAAATAACCAGTGCTGTATAGATGGAAACTATTGTTACTATCTCTTTTAGAATTAAAGGGGCCTTAATAACTATTTAGTCCTGAACCTTATGTATCATTGATATCTGTATGTGCAATTGTACCACGTAAATCCAGTAATATTTTTTTCTTTTAAATCATGAACTAAAGATTGCTGATCAAACTTTAGTGCATAGGGTAAAGTGTTAACCCACACCAAAATGAAGTGCTGTATTAAGAGCTCACCTAAATTTCTAAATTTCAATTTTTTTATGAATTAAGGATATACACACACACATATATATATATATATTCTTAGAAATAGAAAATCATGAGACTCAATACAAACCTACCATATTCCTAAACATCAAATCATTCATATTCTCTTTTCTCAGTGCAAAATTAATTTTTCATTCTTGAGTCCTTTCTGTATGGGGCCAGACTTTCATAACTGTAGCTTCTTAATCTTTTCTCTAAATATTAAAATATCTGGAGGGTGGAGAATGTAATGGTGAAAAGTAAGATATTTAGAGATGAAAAGATCTGGATTTGAATTCCAGTTTTGCCCAGATTTGTGTGACCTTCCACAATAAACCACATCTTTATTCATCTATAACTTGGAGATGTATATGTAAAGCTTTGGAACACTGGGCCAGAGTATTATTACTCATAAGTCATTAATAATAACCATTTGGAAATAAATATATACATATATTTCTATTATAATAATGATAAATCATTGTTCTTCCTTGCCAGGCATTGTTCTGGGAGTATTTACATCTATTATCTCATTCACACAAGATGCTAACATAGTTATAAACACACACACATATAAAAAACTTTGTGTTTTCTGCCCACAAAGTTAAACATTGGCCTCAAATGTACATTTCTTCCACAATTTAGCTGTGATGGTTTTCCATGACTTAGTCCTAGTTACTACGACTATAAAAATCATCCCCACAACTTGATCTCTCAAAACAACCATTATAATTCTCTGAGATTCTGTGGGTCAGGAATTCAGACAGCACATGGCAAGGATGGCTTGTCTCTGTGCCACAATATCCTGGGCATCAGGTGGAAAGACTCTAAGACTGGGGTGACTCAAAACTGGGAGCCAGAATCACCTGAAGCCTCTTTCACCACATATCTGGAGCCCCAGCTGGGACTACTCAAAGACTAGGACTGCTGAGCACAGCGCCTATACAGGTCCTCTCCATGGCTTGGATTTCTCACATTATGGTGTTTGTAAGCTAGTCAGACTCCTTTCATGGTAGCTTAGAGTTCTAAGAGAAAGTATTCCAGGCAACAAGTGAGAAGCTGTTCAATCCTTTATGGACAAGACTTAGAGTCATATAACATCACTTCTGTGGTACTGTATTGGTGGAAGCCCCTTCCCCCCCAACTCCAGATTTGGGGAGAGAGAACATAGACTTCCCTTCTTAATAAAGAGAGTTTCAAAAACTTTGCAAGCAGGTTTTAAAACTGCCACAATCCGTTTTCTGACCACAGATAAATTATATGACTGCATATGCAAAATGAATTCATTTCTTCCCAAGAGTCTCCTTAAAAATATCATCTCTTTATAGCATCAGGCTCAGGCTCAAGGTCTAGGATCTTACCATTGAGATCCATTCATATGTGAATGAGGCTCCTCAAGTGTTAATTCCTTGCATACATTCCTTTAGGTCTGAAATTCTGTGAACTAAGTAAACAAGTCATCCATCAGCACCCTTACAACATGGAATGGTGAGATGATCAAGAGATTACCACAACAGATACTTGCATTCAGAGAGGGAGAAGATGGGATGCACAAAGCATCACTGGTCTATAGAATTCTGAAATTTGGTCTGACACATGTTACCATTTCTCTGCTTAGAGCTGTCCTATTCCCTGTGAGTTGTTCTTCAAGGCTCATGGATCCACCATGGACAATCTCAGTTCTGCCTTCTGAATTAGCCTTCCTTCTTTGTAAGATGTGGCTGGTACTTGCAGCTAAGTAGACCTCTTAACCTGTTTCCTCCTGGTAAATGCTTAGTAGTAGAGATGCTTCCCACCACCCCCGCCCCCACCCACCCAATTTGTCTGTCTCTGTCTCTTTATTTCAAGCTGATGCATTTTCTTTAAAACCTTTGTGGGTTTCCTATGTATGTATTCATTATCTACTCCATTAGATAAAAGCTACACTCACAAATCTTTTCTGTGAAGATGCTGTAGGGAAAATGATTTTTAGAAGTTCTATTGTTTTGAAAGTATTTGCACAACACATACTTTAGATACTCACAGGCCTTTTGTCTGTTTGAAAGGGTGTGGTAGGCAGCTTCAAAGATGGCTTCCAATGATCCCTGCTTGTGATATTCATGCTGTTTTATAATCCTCTTCCTTGAGTGTTGGGTGAACCTAGTGACTTCCTTCTGACAGAGTATAATAAAAGTGATGGGATGTCACTTCTGAGACTAGGTTACAAAGTAACTCTACTTCTGTCCTGTTTACCCTCCCTTGCTCTCTCATTTGCTCACATCTGGAAGCCAGATGACATGATAGGAACTTCTCAATGGAGAGGCCCATGTAGCAAATAACTGAGTGAACTTCCAACAGCCAGTGAGGAAATGAGGCCCTCAGTCCCACAACCTGTGATAAACTGAATCCTGCCAACAATTACAGGACTGAGGTTGGAAGCAGATTCTCCTCTAGAGGAGCCTCCAGTTGAGACTGTAACCTTGGCCAACACCTTAATTGTAGCCTAGTAAGAATCAATGATGCAGAAGAGCCATATAAATGACTCCCAAGTTCCTGGCCCATAGAAGTTGAGATAAACAGTGTTTATTTTTTTAAACTACTAAGTTGAGAAGGAAAAATGGATATAAAGTGGAGAGAATCACCTGAAGCCTCTTTCACCACATATCTGGAGCCCCAGCTGGGACTACTCAAAGACTAGGACTGCTGAGCACAGCGCCTATACAGGTCCTCTCCATGGCTTGGATTTCTCACATTATGGTGTTTGTAAGCTAGTCAGACTCCTTTCATGGTAGCTTAGAGTTCTAAGAGAAAGTATTCCAGGCAACAAGTGAGAAGCTGTTCAATCCTTTATGGACAAGACTTAGAGTCACATAACATCACTTCTGTGGTACTGTATTGGTGGAAGCCCCTTCCCCCCCAACTCCAGATTTGGGGAGAGAGAACATAGACTTCCCTTCTTAATAAAGAGAGTTTCAAAAACTTTGCAAGCAGGTTTTAAAACTGCCACAATCCGTTTTCTGACCACAGATAAATTATATGACTGCATATGCAAAATGAATTCATTTCTTCCCAAGAGTCTCCTTAAAAATATCATCTCTTTATAGCATCAGGCTCAGGCTCAAGGTCTAGGATCTTACCATTGAGATCCATTCATATGTGAATGAGGCTCCTCAAGTGTTAATTCCTTGCATACATTCCTTTAGGTCTGAAATTCTGTGAACTAAGTAAACAAGTCATCCATCAGCACCCTTACAACATGGAATGGTGAGATGATCAAGAGATTACCACAACAGATACTTGCATTCAGAGAGGGAGAAGATGGGATGCACAAAGCATCACTGGTCTATAGAATTCTGAAATTTGGTCTGACACATGTTACCATTTCTCTGCTTAGAGCTGTCCTATTCCCTGTGAGTTGTTCTTCAAGGCTCATGGATCCACCATGGACAATCTCAGTTCTGCCTTCTGAATTAGCCTTCCTTCTTTGTAAGATGTGGCTGGTACTTGCAGCTAAGTAGACCTCTTAACCTGTTTCCTCCTGGTAAATGCTTAGTAGTAGAGATGCTTCCCACCACCCCCGCCCCCACCCACCCAATTTGTCTGTCTCTGTCTCTTTATTTCAAGCTGATGCATTTTCTTTAAAACCTTTGTGGGTTTCCTATGTATGTATTCATTATCTACTCCATTAGATAAAAGCTACACTCACAAATCTTTTCTGTGAAGATGCTGTAGGGAAAATGATTTTTAGAAGTTCTATTGTTTTGAAAGTATTTGCACAACACATACTTTAGATACTCACAGGCCTTTTGTCTGTTTGAAAGGGTGTGGTAGGCAGCTTCAAAGATGGCTTCCAATGATCCCTGCTTGTGATATTCATGCTGTTTTATAATCCTCTTCCTTGAGTGTTGGGTGAACCTAGTGACTTCCTTCTGACAGAGTATAATAAAAGTGATGGGATGTCACTTCTGAGACTAGGTTACAAAGTAACTCTACTTCTGTCCTGTTTACCCTCCCTTGCTCTCTCATTTGCTCACATCTGGAAGCCAGATGACATGATAGGAACTTCTCAATGGAGAGGCCCATGTAGCAAATAACTGAGTGAACTTCCAACAGCCAGTGAGGAAATGAGGCCCTCAGTCCCACAACCTGTGATAAACTGAATCCTGCCAACAATTACAGGACTGAGGTTGGAAGCAGATTCTCCTCTAGAGGAGCCTCCAGTTGAGACTGTAACCTTGGCCAACACCTTAATTGTAGCCTAGTAAGAATCAATGATGCAGAAGAGCCATATAAATGACTCCCAAGTTCCTGGCCCATAGAAGTTGAGATAAACAGTGTTTATTTTTTTAAACTACTAAGTTGAGAAGGAAAAATGGATATAAAGTGGAGAGGAGCAAAAACAAAGTGTATGCAAGAAAACAATCTGGAATCCTTGAGGAAACACTGTAATTTGTGATGACAAACCAGAACCCCAAGGACAGACTGAAACCTGCATCTGTCTTCCAAGGCTACCAACCTCGGTCAGACAGGTGGCTTGCAGGGAAGCTGGCACTTGTCACAGATACCTGGCATGGGGTTTGTAAATGCTGAAGGAACAATCTGGCTGGAACTGGAGAAAGCACAGACCACCCAGGCTATGGCTCTCCACCAACAAGGTGAGCCAGCCAATCAGCAACAGTGCACATGGGCTGCAACAGTGGTGTGGTCTTGCAATGGCCTCCACAGCATAAACATGGCTGCTACTCACTTTGCATTTCTGATCTCATGCAGGTTTCTTTCATGGCAAAGCCTAACTCAGAATCATACAGTGAAGGGAGTTCTGGGAAGCATATTTCTGGCTTAGCTAAATTAACACAAAATAAAGTCTCTCATTTTCAAACCTAGTAAAATATATTATACAAAATTATTCCCATATAATTTATTTAATTTGAATTTTTCAAGAATGAGATTTGCTTCCTCTTTGTCCACTATTTATCAACACATGAATAGAGCACAGGCCACATGACTTGGTCGAAACCAGCAATAACAATTTGTCTCGGGTGATTTACAGGCAAGCTCTACATTGAATTAGAGCTAGAGCGTTTTCAGTTTTGGAAGATATAAAACCAAAATGTTCTTCTTTATTTCATTGTTGGTTACTAAATTTAGAATGGTTATAATGAAAAGTAACATCGAATTTTTTTTGATAAATATAAATTTCCTCAGTAAGGAAAAAACAACTAGATGTGCAATGACAAGGAAAAAAAAGCAAACAGTCTGAAGTGCTGAAGGAAGAACATGGGTAATGCTTCAGTCCTGGAAAACAAGTGGAGCAAACAGGGCTCACTGTGGAGGGAGAGGGGAGGAAGCCAGGTGTCACCCCGGAGCCCAAGCTGCCTG